GGAAAAAGTTCCCCCTGGGTAACCCCCCCCCTCCCCCCCCCCCCCCCCCCCCCGATACTAAATGACCCTTGTGCTCTTATCAAAAAACTTCATGAATATTCCCCACACCTTTATGATCCTAACGCTCACCTTAGCTTTCTCCATCACCTGTACACCTTACCTGTGTATTCATAACATTCAGGTGTGCTGATATCTGACCTTTCACAGTTCCAGGTCTTTATGTATATCAAGTCTTACCTGTTTGGTTATAATGCATCCAGTTCAGCATAATCTCAGGAGCTCTGTACCACCTTGTTGCCACGTAACCCGTCATTTCATCATCTGCATGCCGGGCCAGCCCAAAGTCTAAAATCTACACATACAAATATATATATAAACATATTTAAATAAACAATATAATATTGTCTATTTTTGTTGAGAAGTGTTCTACCCTTGCTGAGGAGTAAAGTAATAAAACAAGATGTATCTACAAGATATCAAATTTAAATGACTTCTATTATAAGAATGGAAGAAGTTGTATAAATGAGTTATTTTGAGTATTATATTTCAGTATACACATTTCCTATTTATTTTGTTTCATATAGGTTTCATACACAAATGAATATTCCATCTGTGTTTTTTCCATAAAATGCAATCTTTTCAGTAAAAGGTCACATCGAGTCTACAAGTGTGTCATCAACAATTTCCTCCATTAGTTACATATCCTTAAGGCTATACTGTTACAGGTTTCTTAGAGCCTTGTATGCTAATAAAAATTAGCCATTATCAGTTTATCGTCTCTCAGGTAATTAGAATTCAGTCCGATGAACTCGCAAAGCACCACTGTCATGAAAAGACAATTTATGGCTTAATTTCTTATCTTCATTCATTCTTTCAAGGTAAATTTTTAATCATCGGTTTTTATCAAGAATGGCATTCAGTCAAAGAGCTGTTTATTGATCTTGGACCTCATGCCACTGATTCAGGTCCATAAGGATAAGTTTCAATAAAAATCTACTTACTTTTAACTCACAGTCTTCATTTACTGCAATATTACTGGGTTTCAAGTCCTGCAAAAATAGCAGTTTATCATTTTGCTGTCTATGATGCACACAAATTTATTTAATAAATTTAAACTATGAAAAATTCATAATAAAAAATCATTAAAAAATTTAAAAACAATGGTGACGACAAAACATGAAGTGTACTCACCCTGTGTATGATGCCTGCTGAATGGACATACTGCAATGAGAGAAGAAAAAAAAAACTCCTTCACATATTATCATGCTGATACTAGTATCTTGATAAATGAATGGTCTACTGAAACGTAATACCCATGAAATGTGTGCACGTATCAAGAATCATGCTGCTTTTTAGATCACATTGGAAACCATGCATTCCATAATCTACTGTATTCTACCAAAGGAGAACAGTTTTAGTAAAATTATCATGTACTGAAACTGTACTGGTATAAAAGTATATAAGACTATTTGTACTTATTAAAATACAATAAAAAAAAAATTATAAATGAATAGTTGTGATGTTTGTCTTAAGAACAACTGAAATGTTGAATAACAAAATTTACAAACTATCTCTGATAACTATGGAATTATTTACTACACATTTGTGTATAACTAAGTTACTTGTACATATGTTCTAGTCTGTATATCATAGATTTAAGACCATGTAAGACAAAAAAACATTCACATGATCTGAGTAACACGCTACACAAAGACAGACATTATATGAGCACAACTTTGCTTGTTGCATTTATCCACATGGTACACATAAAAACATTTACTAGTACTCTACGTGTGAAGAAAAAAGTATTCTATGGAACCTGTAGTCATGCTATGCCTTGTACCGCCACACAACAGTGAACATATAGCTACACAAATACTAGTTGTCAAATGCTGAGCAATTGCTGATAGATTTTTTCAAGAATACGGCGATACTGAATATTAATATTGTTTTTATACACATCCAGATAGATATAGAAATTACACACACACACACACACACACACACACACACACACACACACACACACACACACACACACACTAGTTCAACTACTGTATACATTTTAAATGAACTGAACATTAACAGTATCAATACAAATCTTTTAGCCAACTTGTGTATATAAGATTGCCTTGTACCCCAGGCTGACTCAGAACTCGGTTCATCACGTAATCCAATGAAGACAATTACCTAAAAGCCTACATGATGTACTGTGTACGTGCCGACATGATATTTCTTCGGGCGAAGTGCTACGTGTTATTTTCTGCCATATTAAATAAATCAATCAGAGAATTGAGATGAAATGCTTCTATGAATTCATGCTCTATATTTCATTTTCATCTGTCCATATGCCTTGTAATCCAAGGGCATAAATTCCATCAGGCAGGAAGGAGAACTTGGAGGCAATTTATCGACTATTAATAGGGGATCTTTAGTGTGTGGAGGAGAGAAAATGCTCCTAGTGAGAAATGACTGTGTTCATAGAAGACCCAACTTAAAACAGTCATGGTAGCCTAAATTGCATCAGCGGATAAACTACCCTGGGACTGACTGGCCTGCCCATACCTGCTTACCTTTAAACCTCGTAAGATCTGGTAGACTAGAAACTGCACGTGGTCATCACTAAGCTTCTGTGTCTTGATGATGTTGTTAAGATCAGCACCCATCAAAGCTGTCACCAAATATCTACAAATATACAACAAGTTTATTAACATCTGCAGATGACTCAGATATCAAGTAAATATGTATATATTTACTAATCAAGTTTAAAGTTAAATGTAAATTATGCAAAATATTGCCAATGTTATTGGATGTGTATCAACTTTATTAATTGCTCAAAATCTATGAATGTCAAAATTTCATGCAACCCTGGAACTTATCTTGCTGTTTGCATAATACCCAGTGTTAAATTCATATATTTTCATCTACGTAGTCTATAATATAATATCACCAGGGCAGAGCAATCTTACAAGTTTTATCTAAGTCATCCAAGTTCTTATTTCCCTTGCCTCATAACAGTAGCAAAGCAAGGTCAGACCTTGAGACTGGATGACTCAATCAAGTGCTCACTTACTAGTAGTAATTTTTTTATATAAACATTAAGGTGCCCAGCATCATCCTAAACTTTGGCTATCAGTCAGTAGAAGGATGTTATGTCATCATTTCCAGACATCTGACATGCTGTAAAAGCCCACGCGAAACGGTTCAACCCAGGATCTTAAGCCTGAAAACTGGTCTTAAATATTTGATAAAATCTTAAGTCTACTTTCACCCCCATAAACCAAAAGAAGTTCCCTCACTGGGAATAAAAAGAAGTTTAAGACCAACAATTTATTTGAATCGACTTCCAGGGACTTAGCCTGAATTGAAAGTTGACCCAAATTTCCAGTCTGAAATTTTCCTGAGTATCCGACCCTAGGAAGACCTCCTATAAACCAGATCTAGGTAATATTTACAGCGTAGCATTTACATTCTATCAATAAACCAGATTGCTCTGCAGCAAACGGCTTCTCTCGTTAACCACCAACGTGCCAATTGAGGCAATTCAATACACGGTATAATCTCTCAGAAACCAATAAAACCATCTCTGTGGTATTAATAGACAAATTAGGATGATAAACCACAATTCTGCGGCACCTACGAACTGATATTTGTCAGCTCTATTTTATAATTAGAGCCGTGATTTGTTCAATTAGAGGCCATATGAAAGTGCTCAAAGCTGACAATTACATCATTTTACAAAGAATATCAATAATATATGTGATGGGGACCAGGAATTTCATGATCACTTTTCATCCTTGCTAGGAGGGGGGGGGGGGGGGGGGGGGGGGGGGGGGGGGAAA